TTTCAATCAATCAATCAAATTTTATTTATATAGCGCCAATTCACAACAGTTGTCATCCCAGGACTTTTCAAAGAACAAGAGCAGGTCTAAACCACGCTCATTGTTTGATGAATTATCAAGAACCAACCTAAGATGAGTTTTGGCCCATCTCATCTAACATGAGTAGCAGTGGCAAGAAAAAACTTCCTTTTAACAGGCAGAAACCTTGAGCAGGACCCGACTTATGCCAGACAACCACCACTTTGGCTGATCCTTAATCAACTTATTAGGAATGTGTTACAGCACCTAATTCAAAATGAGTAAATATTTACGAAAAAAAAACAAAAAACAATCCTGCTTATCAGTTTGAACTTTAAATATCTTTGTAAAGTATCCCGTTGAATTCAGGTAGAAAGGGTTTGAAAATAGTTGTATTCTGTTTTCATTCATGTGTTAGACAATGTCCCGACCGTATTGGAGTTAGGGTTGTACTATGTGGCTCCACATGGTTACAGGTCTCTACAGGTCTTATCAAAAGTGACATGGCACTCTAAAGGATCATAAGAGAAGAGTACATAAACCTTTATCCATCCTATGATGACGAACTTCATATTATTGAATATTATTTGAGTTACTAGAAAAAAAAAAGAGAAAAAAATAGGTATTTGCAATTGTAATTAATATCTAGTTTGTCAATATTGCACACATTAGGGTAGTTTTGCTAAACAAACAAACAAAAAAAATGGACTGTAGAGTGAGTTAGTGTTGTCAGTCCAGTCCAGTTTATTGTTTAGGTGAACACCCAGGTACTTGAAAGAGTCCACAATCTCAAAGTTCTCCTCCTGAATGTTCACTAGTGCGTGGGAGAGGTGGGTCTGCCCATGTGGAAATATACCACCAGCTCCTTAGTTGATCTGCAGGAAGTTCCATTGACACCAGGCCACAAAGTCCAGTTCTCAGTTCTCTGTACTCTGTCAGTGTCAGTCCAGCTAACACTGACCCTCTCGCACCATTTTCAGGGACCTATATCCACCATATTAGAATCATCAGCATTGTTTGGTTTTGTATATCATTAAAAAGCATTAATAAGAGTTGTAGTGTATCTCAGTGATGTAGTGTTGTACGAGATTTTCATAAACATCCTCCAGCTGTTGTTTCAGGTTTCAGCCTGTTACCCCCAATTTCCATCGCATCCGGGACTGGCCACGAAAAGGCCATATACGCCGATTATAGCTGATCGTAACCATTCACGTTAATGTGTCAATTTCCACTGGCATCTTTCAGTTCTGCTGTGGATTGTCGGACTCCATAGCTAATCGCAAGAGTTCTATTTTTTCAGACACCAGAGCAAGCCAGATAAAGTCAGCACAGATTAACCTGTGCTGGAAAGGAGGTTGGGCACAGACACAAAATAAAACACCTGGGGCCTCATGTATCAACGCTGGCGGCGCCAGAAAACTTTGCGTTCGCCAAGATCGGCGCACACGTCCAGATTTATCATCGCGACACGAGCGTCGGTTCCAGCGCAAATCCACGCAAAGTGAGGAGGTGGTGTAGAAGTTGGCGTTGAGCCGATACTTGCGTTGACGGCACTTTGGCGACACTGTGTGGTGGTGTTTGGTGACTCACTATGTGACAAGCGTTCACACATCGCAGTGGACCTGCACCACATCCCCGTGGCTGAGCAGCACGTTGCCCCACATGATGAACCAGCAGCAGACGGAGGGATGCGAGCTGATCCCTGCCGGACCGCCGTCCTCGCGCGGGAGAATCTCATCGCCACAGTGTGAATGGGTAAGAAGTGGATACACAGTTCAATGAGCCAAATTAATTTATTTTCGCCACCAGACGCTCGAGGACATTTACGAGCCGGTCCAGCCGCTCGTTGATCCCCGCGATCCCCCTGATGATTTCTTCCTTCGATTGCAGGACCGCCTCCGTGAGGACCCTTCCACTGCGTCCGGGTGGTCCAGCGGAAGCGCCGCGGCTGGTGGACGCTCCACCGCTTGTCGGCGCGCTGGTGCTGATGCTGGTGCTGGGGCCGGGGGCCGGGGTGGCCGAATGATTGATTTCTGTGACACAATAAAAATATTGGTTCATTTCAATTCCTGCTTCTGTGTATCTGCTGCGTTTACATCTCTCTCCACGGTATCATAGGTAATGTAATCCAGCATTTAGAGGTCAGTTATGCACATTACAGTTATTTATTGCATAAAAAGTTATCAAAAAATGAAGTTAAGGGCGAAGTATAAATCACGTCTAAAAATAGACTGAATCCCGACGTTGAAATGAAGTATAAACTTAAACTAGACGTCTAATATACGTCTTTTGCTCAGTGGGATGGCAAAGCATGTGGACATTTGTGTGACACGCCACTTACCCTATAATAATAATCGCCACCACCCGCTGCTCAAACGGCGTGAGGGTCTCCTCCCCCGGACCCCCACCTGTCTGGCCGGTACTCCTCCGGAGGGCAGCTGTACGCCGCTTGACCTCCACCTTGAGTTCCGACCACTTTTTTTTAATCTCCGCGGGGGTGCGTGTCTCGGAACCCACCGCGTTCACCCTCTCGCAAACTTTCTCCCACTCCAAGCGTTTTTGTTTTGCACTGACGCCACTGGACAGGCTGCCAAACAAAACACGCTGTCGCTCCTCCACCTCGCACGCCGTAAATTTTGTTTTTCTTGTCATTTTGTCTGCGTGCGAGGACAGGGGGACCCTATTTAAATAAATCTGCATATTTATAGGTGGGCGTAACGGGGGCGGGCCCGGTCACTCCGACATCTGCGCTCAATTCTAAGCTGACTGGGATTTATCAAGGAAACACACGTGGCTTTCGGCGCCCGCATACCTTGATACATACGAATTTTTTTCAGCGTGATGGACCTTGCATGCGCTCGTTTCCGGTATGAGTCCCACGCAAGTGTTGATACATGAGGCCCCTGGCTTCTTTTCAAAATAAAACACTGTGTTTCAGGAGGATTGTATTTTACACCATACAAACAGGTGGGGACAAACAAGTGAAAAGTTTATAGACAGCATTTCACTCCAAAGATACCATGGATGAGAGGATGCTGATATTAAAGGTCTAGAAGTAGATGTCCTCCTCTGGAAGAACATAATCTACTGCTTATATGGTTAGCCTATGTGGCTAAAGACAACTTGTTATTGCGCAATTGCAAGTGAAACCGCAGTTTCTTGAGTTCTCGCAATTCCTGCTGTCTGTAATTTGCCATGAAATTTGCCTCACAAACAGATCGAAATAGATAGGAATTGGTGGACGGCAAAAATCGCCGCCGTTCCTGATCGGAGCTGTCCCGGATGCAGTGAAAATTGGGAGTTAGAGTCATGCTGTATGAGAGAGCTCTTTAAATGAAAGGTTTTACAAACAGAAGAAAATGTCACACTCTGACAAAAGTGTTTTAGTTAAACAAAAGCTCCAACAGGGCCAGGAAAAACCTGTTACATTGTTTTATTTACACAAAGGCACATCAAAAATAAAGTCAGAACAGGTGAAACAATAGTCAAATAAAGTCTGTATGCAAAACATGATGGATTTAAGTACTGACATGTCTATGACAAGACCAGGTGCAACCTACTGTACAGGAGTGAGACACCATCATCACCACCACAGGTTCGTTTCCTTTTTCTTTGTGATATTGTAAAACTTGTAAAACAAATGTTAGTATTCAATCATTTCATTTTTATTTGAGTGTTTCTGTTTGCTTTATACAGACTTGGTGTATAAATGTGCAGATGAGGTGTCAATCTTTCTGTGGTATAACACACAAAATCACCACAGAAAACAACAACAATTTAAACTTTAGAAAATTCTCTGGGAAATTTTGAGAGGGCCAAAGGGGCTACTGCCAGAGTGTGGAAATTATGATGAGATTTTTCAGAGCTTTCAAATAATTTATACTATTAATACAACTGTGATTTTATATACAAGGAGAATATCTAAAACAACGTTTCTTTTTTTAAGTATTAATTTATACAGCAAAAAAAACAGCAATCAAAAAATGATAAACAGGGGTGCAGGCCCAAGTGACAGTAGAGCTAAGTGTGAGGACAGTGATGATCATTTACTATGTTGTCTTTGGTGTTTCTACAGTAAATAGTTTAGACACACTCGCAAGTTATAAACAGGAGTCCCTTCTGCATCTTTGTATTAGAATCAATGAGAAGCAGAAAGAGACATTGCTTTACTAAGAGTATGAAGGTATTTTTGGTGCAAAAAGGTTTGTGCATCCGTCACATATAATTTTTAGTTGTGTACAGTGATTTTGTATGTGTATTAGTAAACGTGAAATCCGCACTCCATGAGCTGTGTAGATTTTATGTGTGTACTTGTTGATTTTTTTTATTTCCACAAGTACAACACATTTACACATCACAAATTCTTAATTACAGGTGCACAAATACTATTTTACAAGTCACAGATTCAAACTCTGACATGCTCACATTTTTGCTCCAAAAGTGCACAAATGTGTTTTGCATCAAATATGCTGCAACAATTGGAGTAAAAATGTGAGCGTGTCAGAGTTTGAATCTGTGACTTGTAAAATAGGATTTGTGCACCTGTAATTAAGAATTTGTGATGTGTAAATGTTGTGTTGTACAATACCCAATTCCAATGAAGTTGGGAAGATGTGTAAATCGTAAATAAAAACGGAATACAATGATTTGCAAATCCTTTTCAACCCATATTCAATTGGATACACTACAAAGAACACATATTTAATGTTCAAACTGATAAACTTTATTGTTTTTTTTGCAAATAATCATTCACTTTAGAACTTAATGGCAGCAACACGTGCCAAAGAAGCTGGGAAAGGTGGCAAAAAATACTGAGAAATTTGAGGAATGCTCATCAAACACCTATTTGGAACATCCCACAAGTGAGCAGGCTAATAAAAGCAGCTTTCCCCAAAAGTCATTCACAAGCAAGGATGGGGTGAGGTTCACCACTTTGTGAACAACTGTGTGAGCAAATAGTCAAAAAGTTTAAGAACAATGTTTCTCAAAGTACAATTGCAAGGAATTTAGGGATTTCAACATCTACAGTCCATAATATCATCAAAAGGTTCAGAGAATCTGGAGAAATCACTGCATGTAAGCGGCACGGCCGGAAAACAACATTGAATGCCCATGACCTTCGATCCCTCAGGCAGCACTGTATCAAAAACTGGAACACAGGAACACTTTAGAGAACCACTGTCAGTAAATACAGTTCGTCGCTACATCTGTAAGGGCAAGTTAAAACTCTACTATACAAAGCGAAAGCCATTTATCAACAACATCCAGAAATGCCGCCAGCTTCTCTGGACCCGAGCTCATCTAAGATGGACTAATGCAAAGTGGAAAAGTGTTGTGTGGTCTGACAAGTCCATATTTCAAACTGTTTTTGGAAATAGTGGACGTCGTGTCCGCCAAGCCAAAGAGGAAAAGAACCATCTGGACTGTTATCGATGCAAAATTCAAAAGCCAGCATCTGTGATGGTATAGGGGTGTATTAGTCCCCAAGGCATGGGTAACTTACACATCTGTGAAGGCAACATTCATGCTGAAAGGTACATACAGGTTTTGGAGCAACATATGCCGCCATCTATGCAACGCCTTTTTTTATGGACACCCCAGCTTATTTCGGCAAGACAATGCCAAGCCACATTCTGCACGTGTCACAAAAGCGTGGCTTCGTAGTAAAAGAGTGTGGGTACTCAACTGGCCTGCCTGCAGTCCAGACCTGTCTCTCATTGAAAATGTGTGGTGCATTATGAAGCGTAAAATATGACAACGGAGACCCTGGACTGTTGAACAACTGAAGCTGTACATCAAGCAAGAATGGGAAAGAATTCCACCTTCAAAGCTTCAACAATTAAGTCTCCTCAGTTCCCAAATGTTTATTGAGTGTTGTTCAAAGGAAAAATGATGTAACACAGTGGTAAACATGCCCCTGTTCCAACTACTTTGGCACGTGTTGCAGCCATGAAATTCTGAGTTAATTATTATTTGCAAAAAAAAAATAAAGTTTATGACTTTAAATATGACATTAAATATCTTGCTTTTTTAGTGTATAGGTTGAAAAGGATTTTCAAATCACTGTATTCTGTTTTTATTTATGTTTTTCACAGTTTTCCAACTGGAATTGGGTTTTGTGATTGTGGAAATAAAAAAAAATAAACAAGTACACACATAAAATCTACAAGTACACAACTCATAGAGTGTGGATTTCACATTCACTAAAACACATACACAATCACTGTACACAACTACAAATTACATGTTACAGATGCACAAACCTTTTGCACCAAAAATACCTTCATATAAGAGGCTCAGAATTTGAATTCTACAAGTCTCTCTGCTTAGAAGAACACAGTGTTAGAGCATGTAAAGTGTAATTTGTAGCTGGGAGGAGTGTGAGGGAAGAAAATGTTTCAGACAATTTCATGCCACTTCTCTCTCTCTAGCCGATGATGTCACCCACTCTGGGATGAAACATGAATTATTACACCAAAAGACAAGACTTGTATCATCATTTATAAAGTTTAAATGGAGTTTCTTGGTAAAGGTATGCCAAAGTAGTAGATGTTTGAAAAACTGCAACAATTACGACCACGGGGCAAATGCACTGGGGAACTATAATACTGTTATACTGTGGATTTTTTCTCTTTCCTCTTCTGGACAATTTTCATGATTTGAATTTGGGACAAGGCAAAATAAAGAGCAACTAGAAAATTCTCCCTGGGAAATTTTAAGAAGGCCATGGGGGCTGCTGCAGGGGATTTTACATTATGATGAGATTCTTCAGAGATTTCAAATAATCAATACTAGTAGAATTGTGATATTATGTACAAGGAGCACACCTACAACACGCATTCTTTTTTCAAGTATTTATTTATAAAACAGAAAAAAAGGAGACATAGATGTTTGAAAAACTCAAAAAAATGCTCTTTGTTTTAGCCTAGTCCCATTGCCTTCAGTGCAAAATTTTTCTGCAGTGTTTTGCAACTTATGTCACAAAAAATTCTAGTACAATAGAAGAAAGGAATAGCACATCAATCCTGATCAAACCACACATTTTGACATATAATTTGTCCTACAACTCTTTAAGCTGTAGGACGAGTAGTGAATCAAAATTTGTCAACAGTATAACGATAGTGCCTCAGTGCGTTTGCCCCATGGCCCTAAACAAGTATTTTAGGACCAAAATCTGCAACAATATCCTGACTAAAGAGCGCTCATCTTTCATTTTTTAGGTAACTATTATTTTGAGAAGAGAAGGCGAAATGGCCAATAATTCCTCTACTGTGAATCTCACTCCTTCAGTGATGGCATACATCATCATCGGCTCAGCGGATCACATTATCAGCTTCCCAGTGAACTGCTGGGCTCTGTGGCTGATTGTCTCTGGAAATAAGAGCCTCTTTCAAGCAGAGTTTTTAACTCTCCACCTGGTTTTCTGCGAGTTAGTGTTTTCTTTGTGTTTTTATCTATCCCTGGCATGCTTGTTTTTCCAGTTAAGACTTCTAAACCCTCTGAAAGACTTTTATCACGGTGGGTCTGTGGGGGGAAGAGCCCTGTTCCAGTGTCACATCTGTGTGGATCGCTACTTGGCAGTTGCCCATCCTCTACTCTTCATCAGGTAACCAAACCCTCATAGAGAGAGAGCAGAAGTTTCTGTTTCTTTATCAGTAAAAGTTCACTGAGACGTGGGGCGGCTGGTGCAGCTGCACTACCCACCATACTGGAGGTAAAGACCTGATAACTGAGCTGGTCTACCTCTGTCGTCCCTCAGATTGAGAATCTGTAAGGACTGCAGCTGCTCATTCGTCAAACTCAAGAAGCTAACAGACACTAAGTATTGCAGACCTGCCACTCGTGCATCTGTATCTGACAGGCTCATACCACTCACAGAAAATCACTGTTTTTCCTAACAGAGCAATTCTCAGTAACCTCTCTGAGGTCAAGACAATGGCAACTTTTATGTTACATGTTTGTGTATTGTCTGGGTTCCTCATGACATGAAAATGGCCTTCAGTTCTGTTTTAACTAAGCTTTTTGTTTTTATTTGTCTTTTTCCACATGCTTTATGACTATTTGCCAAAGCACTTTGTAAACTTCTGTTTTTAAAAGTACTATAAAAATAAAGTTATTATCATTGTTATGTAAAGAAACATGTTTTGGTCTTGTCCAGGTACAAAAGAATAAAGTACAGGGGGGGCTGCCTTGCAGCTGTATGGCTGGCAGTTTTATGTAAGCGAAGATAAAATATATTTACTTTTCTCTGATATTTTGTAGATAAAGCATTTTCACAATTTCAGTGTTTGTTTTTTTTTTTTTTTTTTTTTGCTCATCCACAGCTGCTGGATTGTCCAACTACTTAAGGCCAATGAATTCTGCTGTAGTCACCTGGGGTTCAAGTTTGATCCTTGCCCCTGCCCTCATCATTGAGCTCTTCTGCAGTCTGTCCATCCTCAGGATTCTCAGGAGACCCAGTCCAGGAGACAAGGAGGGCCATGAGAGAAAAGAGGGGAATCAGCTGAAGATGAGAGCCATGAAGATAATTTGTCTTACTCTTGCTATGCTGATTTTTAATGTGGTCCCATTTCTTGCATTAGGTCTGTATATTAAACTAGGTGAGGCTCCAGATATGATTGCTATAGCTTTCACTCTGTCCAGTGTCGGGAGTTCAGCTCAGGCAGTTTTATTCCTTAGCAGGGCCGGGAAGCTGCCATGTAGAGGTTGAAACTAAAGAGAAATATTCACCAGAAAAGCCTCCAGACTCCCACAAATGTAGTGCTGTCATGGTGAATACATTTACACCAGCTTTTTGTGAGAGCAGTCACAAAAAAAGAAGAGATTTGTTTCCTAAAGCCTTATTGACCCACCTGTGTTGAAACAAAAACTTTAAAAATGTAGAAAAAATATTCAATACCTTCTCCCTCCCCAGGGTCATAATCAGCACTCAGTGTGATGAGTAAATCCACAGGTTAAAGTTGATTCATAGACTGGTAACTTTACTTTACCTGGAGTCCTGATATTAAGTATATACAACATTAGCAGGTTCATTTTGTCTAACTGACTAGTTCCCTTAGATGTTTATCTTGAAGTTAATTGATGAGAATTCATTGTTTTTTTGACACTGACATAGATTTTTTGTTTTTATCCGTTATCCACTGTGATGCTTCCATCAATGTGAAACTGATTGTTTGATCGCTTGTCTTGCTTTCTGTTACGTTTACTCCGAGTGGGATACTGACTTTAGTTGTGTTCTTTTGCATGTAGTTGCAGGTTTGCAGCCACACCTTTTCTAAGAGCTCCTACTCTCCAACTGTCTTCATTTGTCATTAACGACATAACTTCAGTCGACAGGGACTTCATTGTGTCGCATTTTTGATTCATTTGACTTAAGTCTTTGATACTGTTGATCACTACCTGAAAATGCATGCACTTGGTTTCAGGACAAATTTTCTACAAGACATCAGTGTGTCCAAAGAGGTCAGGCCAAATCTGAATTATTGATAAAAGTGGACCACAGGGATATTTTTTAGGACCTATCTTCCCTATCTAAACTGATGACATCATTTCATCTTTGAATGGTTGTCATACTTACAATCTTCTGTTGTTGTGCACAAAAACTCCAATAATTAGGGCACCAAGGCACTGTGCCGCAGGGCAGAGAAGTCCCTAATTGGTGAGTAGGCTTACCAACCACTTCCACCTTTGGCATAAGGATGTTAGGCCACTTCTGGACATTTTTCCTTTATCAAAGTATCCGTCCATGTGCAAGTAATTGATGTGTTTTTTTTTTTTTACTGTAATTTACTTTTTTATTCTGTCAGTCATAACATAAAAGTAAAAAACATTCTGTTGGATGGTTTAAAAATTACCTGACAGACAGAACTCAGTCTGTGCAGGTATGGGCCTTATTTCCAGCTCACTCACTGTCACAAAAGGTGTGCCACAAGGGTCTAACCTAGGACCACTCTTATTCATCATTTATATCAATAGTATTGATCAGAACATATCAAATGCAAAACTTCATTTTTTGCAAATGACACAGTCATGTATATTACTGCTTCCACAGCAGGCCAAGCACTTACACGGTTACAGCTTGCTACTAATAATGTGCAACACCACTGTTATAATTTTAAACTGGTTTTAAATGCAGACAAAACAAAAGTTATGCTATTATCCAATTCTTGGTCCAAACTTTCAAACCTGCCCTCAGTGATCACAGCTCAGGGTTCTCAGATAGAACGTATTTCTTCTTACAAGTATCTTAGATTCCCTTTTTTTCTCTGCTCATATTCAGCAGCTTGTGAAAAAAACTAAAACTGAAGTTAGTTTTTTTTTTTTTCTAGAGTAACACCTGTCTCTCCTTTGGATCCAGACAGAGACTGGTTTTTGCCACATTTATGTCTGTGCTGGACTACAGTGATGTTTTGTCTATGCACGCCTCTTCTCAAAGTGTTTCTTAAAGGTTTTACAGGTGGGTTTGACTGTAACGAATGATTTTTGGTTTAGGGCCTCTAAATGCCTGAAAAACACAGATGAAAAGTTCAGAAAAATGGAGACCCCAGCCATTCGTTTTCTTTCCCAAATTTTCTCTCTTTATCACAGAAACCAAAAACACATGACTCAACCATGTAAAATGTTCCTCAGTGCATGAATGTCTCTGTTAGAATCTCCACAGTGAGAATGTCCATATGCTGCTTTAATAAAGTCCATTCCATATGGTTCCCCTTTATAATATTCATTAAATGATTATTTTAATGACAGAGTGAAACTTTTCAATGTTAATACTATGTTGTAGACAACTTCGCCAAGTCTCATTAGATCAGACAAGACACATGAATGAATACAAATTAACAGGGGGCTAGAAAACAGTAAATGTATGGCGACTATAGCTGCCTGGAGGCTGAGTAGGGGAAAACGGTACCTTGCCCAACGCGCTGGCTGTATACACTTCAAAAAACAGGCTGTATCTTCATTTGTAGATTTATTAATGCAAAAGACAAAGCACTTACATGAAACAGAAAAGGGCAGTCGTTCAATATCAGGCGAAATACAAGCGAAAAAGCGAAACATAAGCATAACATAAGCCGTCAGCAAAAGTAGGGCTTCCCCATTCACCCCCTCTCCATTCATCCACAAAACCCGCCAGTCGAACAGCTGACTTACCACTACTGGTGCTGACGTACTACCTCCACCCACACCACGTGACACTCATCCCTGTATATAACCACACAGTGCATAAACATTATAAAAAAATCATGGCTACCACAATGAACTGGCATCTACAATAAACTTCCCCTTTAAACTGCTTACTGCAATATGAAGCAATTTTAATCAAAATATCAGACATACTTCAAAGGAAATTTTTCCTATTCTTAGCAACAGTTGAGTTTTAATCCACAAGGCTCAATAACAATAGCCTACCCTTCAACAAAATACCTTAATAATCTTACTTATGAATTGTATAAACATTTTTTTTCCTATCAAAACAGGTAATACCAAAATGTACGTTAAGTGTTCAGGGTTCTCGCTTTAAATATAGCGCTTGGAGATGCACACCCTCATGCTAACAGTGCGCTCCAATTTCAGGGGAATGATAGTGTTACAAACTACACAGGTTGTAGGCTGATGGTTTCCCGCGCTGAGCAGCAGCACTATGTTTAGCTCTCTTTATATAGTCCTTATAACAAGCTAAAGTCTGTCAACAGCACACTTCAAACTCAGGCTAAATTTAGTTTAACATTGTGTAGATGTAAGGGGTAAAATTTTATGAATTTCACAGTGTACCAACCTGAAAACCACAGATGATAACTTGGAAAAAATTGAGAAAAACAGAACAGAAACAGAAAAATGGAGACCCAAGCCATTGATTCTTCCGCGTTCTTGCACGCAGATTCAATCACAGGGGTATTCTTGTTTATAAATGTGCTCTCGGTCTGTCACCATCCTACCTTCTGACCCACATCAGTTAGAAGAGCACAGGACTTCATAATCTTTGGTCCCAGGTTCTTCTCGTTGTCTGTCCCAAAAGTCTCTGAACAGGGAAAAAGGCGTTCAGGTTTGCAGCTTCACATACATGGAATGATCGACAAAAAACCCCAGAAACTTCAGGATCTGGTTTCACTGGACACTTTCAAGATGATGTTGAGTGACTTGGAGACACATCTGGCTGTATATGTTTTGTCTGATGCACTTTACTTTTCTCACATGGGCAATCCAAGCAGAATTGGCTGTCTGGAATTGTGACTGTTTTTTCTTATGTATCTTAGTCGTGTTTATGTGTTTGTTTACTGTGTGTGTTTGTGTTGATCTGTTGAGCATGCTGCTGTCTCAGCCAGGACACTCTTAAAAAGGGATTTTTTTTATCTCAATGAGTTTTGTTTCCTGGTTATATAAAATAACTAACTAAATAAAAACGATACATGAAATTCATTATAATGTACCTTGGTGTCACGATATGTTTTCTTAATTTAGTTTTCTCCTGGTGTTGTTTCTTTAAGTGTATTTTCTGTGTATTTTCCCTAGTTTTTCTGTTCCCCTGTAGTCCTGTGTGTCTGACCCCGTTTCCCTCATGTTCTCAGTGTTTTATTCTTTAGATCAGTTTTCAGTGTTTCCTGTTTTATTTTGTAGTAGTTTATTCCCTGTTTCTAGTCTTGTTTTACTTCCTCAGTTTTCCTTCCTCTGTGATTATCTGCACCTGGGTCTCAGTGTCTCACCTGTCTCTGATTGCTCGTTTCCCTGTGTGTGTATAAACAGTCCCTGTCTTCCTCTGTTTCCACGTTGGTTCATTGTGCATATGTATGTCGAAGTGTGCCTATGCCTGTGTCCCCAGTGAGTCCTCAGTAGTAATGGCCAAATGAAGCTTTCTGAAGCAATGAGGCTTCCCAGCCTATTGGAAGCTTTGTTCAGTGCTCACTAGCCCCATCTGTTCAAAAGTTAAACTATGACAGCCAAGTCATTCAAATAGATTTCAAATGTCACAATACTGAGTACAGATTAGGTGGTGGTAGAAAATGAATGGATGTATATTATCACAATATAGAATAGTGTTTAATCCCTGTACAATAACAATAAAGTCTTTAGTGTTTCATTTAATCAGACTGTTTAATAGGTCTGTACACACACACACACACACACACACACTTTAACTTTTAGGTTTTTAGGTTTTAATCTTATTCACTATCAACTATTTATTTGTTGAATTTCCCCTTTGGGAGATCAATAAAGTTCTATTCTATTCTATTCTATTCTATTCTATTCTTCTTAACTCTGCTCTCCCTTTTTATTCCTAAGAAATATTTTCTGTCCCTTTTGATTGTCATATTGTTTTGTGATTTTCATGGCTATCAGTGTTCATTATTTATTAAACACATTAGGTGGTGTTGTGTGTTGGAAGTGCAGTGCTTGGGTGACACAGTACAGTATGTTGGGAGGGGGGCAGGAAGTGGAGGGGTAATCTTTTTTTTTTTAAGGTCTGGACTTTTTTCACAGTTTCTGGTTTGGAGAACACCCTCTCACAAGGCACTGACGACGCTGGAGAACATAGGAACCTCAGTGCCATGTGGTACAAATAAAGGGACACATGTTTTTGAGTATGCCAGTACTCAAGCGGATCCTTGTTTCTTCTTATGTTTTTTTGAGCGAGGTACCGCTCTACTTCTACAATTGCATCTGCTGTGGCATTGGAGCTTCTTCTCCTCTGATCCACTGTTTCATCCAACAGAGACCACAGTTCACCTAAAAATAGTTCAAATACAGATTTTGCCTGGGGAAAAAAGTTGTTTAACTTTGAATCATTAGGTATTTATCCCCCTTCCCAATGAGCTAACATGGCATGGGTGGTCCCATTGGAAAGCTGTGGTTGTCCAGAATACAATGGTATCTTTACTTTTTGTCTACCTTAAAATTTAACCATGCCACGCTCGCGGAAAGACAGTGTCATCAGCGATCCTGCCAGCAAAAACGTTTTTGTCATAGGGGTAACAAAACATTAAAAAACACACCTTTGGGAAATAAATCTTTCTTGGGAACATCAAAATCCTTTTTTCAGAGGTCTTAAGGATGATAAAAATCCTGACTAGAAAAAAAATAAGGGGGGGGGGGGACGTGGAGGTCCCTAAGTGCCCTACTAAAGCAAACCACTTCAAACAGAACCTGCTGCTTATTGTTTTGTCTTTGATTTGTTTCGGAGCCTTGCTATTTCTGCATTGAGCTCTTTAACATGCTCAAGGGAAAAATCCAACGCAGCAGGGCCTGTACTGGCACAGTAACCATAGTCAGGATCTTCCTCTTCCACAGATCAGCCATCAGTCTGCATTTCCTCCCTGTTGAATTGCTTGGCCCTTCCTCAAACACTGGGCTGTGGGGCTGGAAGGGTGAAGCTGTTCCAATTAAAAGCACTAGGACAGCTCCATTCTTGAGACATGTGCGACCAACTGGGGTCGGAGGTTGGATCTGGTCTGAGCTGCAGACTTGTGAGCTGCAGACTTGTGAGCTATCTAACAGTGAAGTTGTCTCTACAGATGTTAATAATGAATTTCCCTTGAGGGCTCAATAAAATTCTTATTTTATCTTCATCCATCATCTCTGTAACTCCTTGTCTTTGTAAAACATATGGAAACTTATGATGGAGTTACCTTTAGCTGATGCTCTGCGTTGCAGCACACAGTAGTGATGGCTGGCAGTGCTGTCCTCTTGGCTTTTAAAAGACACTTTTGTGTGTTTACAGGTCATCACATACATCAAGTATCATAAATTTAAAACAATAAAAACAACAAAAGCAGTTTAGATTTGTTTTTCTGAGTAGCGGTCAAGTCATCTGCCATCAGGGAATGTTTACAATGGCTGTGTCTCATTTCAGAGACCGCATCAGGCTGAGCGCGCTCTGCCGTTATGTGGACTTGAGTACCCTGAGTGAGATGGTCCAGTTTTTGTGAAATGGGACAGACTACCCTTCGGGGGACTTCCTGGTTGAGTCGCCAGATGTCCCCACCCTCAGGCTCGCGTCACGACTGACTTGAAGAAAAGCCGTGGAGCGCAGCATTGGTGTCTCTGCAGGTGTAGGCTACCGTCGGTGTCAGAGACGTGGTGCTTGTTGGAGCTCGACTCCTTCTGGATCTCAAATGTTGAGCATCAGTCGGATTGTTTCTTCAGAAACCACAAAAACTCTCTGAATGACCTGCTGATGCATCCACCGATAACCCTGCAGATGACCAGCTTCAGTCATTTCCCCCTCCACAAAAGCAGCTTTATGACTTTATTTACTTTATGACTTTATTCTCCTAAATTTACAGCTTTAATCTAAAGGTCCTTACACACCAGGCACAAATTCGCCAGGCGAATTATTCGCCTTTTTTTAAAACAGCATAAAGTCAATGCAAGCTTCCACACCGGCAGTGATTTTCCCGCGGGGCGAAAAGCTTCTTTAATTTTTTTTCGCGCTTGTGTCGAATTTTTCGGAGATTTGCAGGCGAATATCTGGACCTGCTAGACCTCTGGCCAATCAAAAGTCATGTTGTTGATGATATTCATTTATCAAGCACGTTATGGCAAACCCATCCAGCTCCTCTTGGAGACAAGTGAGCTATAGATGAGCTATTATGTGCTTATATACATTATAACGGGGCTTTCAAGAAAACAGGACTTTGTCTCATTCATATAGAATATTGCCTATTATTTTAATCTTACCTCAGACATGTGGCTAGCTGCTCCTCTGGACCAATTGGCTCTCTGTAGTTAGTTGTCTGTTTCTCCAGCTGTGGGGTCAGCTGCTTGAGGAGGTTGTTAAATTGCCCAAGGGACATTCTAAAATACTGGCGGACTTTTGGGGGGTAGAACTTCTCTTTGCTAAATTTATACGCATATTCGCTTTGCGCCCGGTGTGTATAGGCAACCGGCAAATATTTTCGCATTTTCGTCTTGCTTTTTCGCCTCGCTCCGCAAATTCGCTGGTGTGTAAGGACCTTAAGTCTTCAAAAACAAAACAAACAAACAAAAAAAAAAAAACCTTGATGTGGTCCTGATACTCTGACGTTGTTTTGGCAGCTTTCTTATTTCTAATGTTTTTGATTGTGGTAGCAGAGCGGATCCATTCTTTTCTATAGAGGATCATGTTTAGTTTGCAGATTTTAGTGAGTTAAGAGATCATGCACTCATACAGCCTGAGCTGACTGTCTGCTGTTGTTGGATTTCTTTTATTTTCTTTGAAGATGTGCTGCGTCTCCAGGCGAGTCCAGCCTCTCACCCGAAATGCGTAGCTGTGCGGCGGCACGTGAAGAATTCTAGGATACCAAGGCCACAAAAGTGTGCATAAATGCACGCTTGAAAAAGGGGCGTGGGTAGTGTGGTTTTGAGACTGAATTTATAGCGCGCTCAGCATTTCAAGCCAACATCACTCACACTTCTAATGCGCCGTTCGACGATGCCATCTCTGAAATGAGACACAGCCAATGATCCTGAGATTTCACCGTAAATACATCCTCAGCTTGTGTGCATTGAGCCCATTGGTCTCAGCTGTGAGTCTATAAGGTTGTACAAATATATGTCCATGATTATCACATATTTTTAAATCCACAAATATATCCATGATTTACATTTCTTTTTTTAATTTTATGTGTGCATTTGTCACGACTTATCAGTTGTAAATCTTCAATTCTGCTTGTTGAATTGTCGAAAGTGCATTTGTGGATCAACCAGCATGCACATTTATTTTTGAGACAAACATCAAGCAGTTCTGAAGAGATTAAATTTCCCTTCGGGGATCAATAAAGTTTTTCTTATTCAAACACGGAAGTTTAAGATATTCACATTGTGGAGAATACTGCCCCTCCCATCGGCTGGGCGGCAGTGTTCCTCTCCCCCTTGAGAGCATAGACTGTAAAGACGAAAATTGACATCTATCCAATAAAGGAGCAGAGAAAGGCCAAAGTCAACAGGCCAGTTGGATCATAGACATAATGGCCCTCATTTATCAAGCTTGCGTACGGCAGAAAACTTAAGTACACCTTGTGTACGAAAAATTGGACGCGAAGATCAGCATTTATCAATCTGCACGTGAACGTACACTACGACCAAATCTCATGACAGGTCTGACATTGTGTACCAAGTTTGAGTCAGTGTGGATCTGTGATGCAGCAAATGTCTGTCTGAAAATAATTAATGAACAAACCTCAAACCTGTCATTAAGCACAATCAGCCAGATTTCATTAAAGATTAAGACGTAAATAAAATAAAATAAATTTGTTATGTCCTTAATGAATAGACCTATTTGATAACTCTGCCCAGAAACACTGCTACAGAGCAGGAGCGCCGTTTAAAAATTGCGCCCTCACGCACACGCGCCACTGTGGAGCGCTGCGTTTGACTCCTAAAAGGCAGGTGTCTCTGTCTTGGCCCAGCAGTGGGGACGTTGTTGTACACTCCTGAAAGGGTGTGGGACATCATTTGGGCCAGTACAGTTTTGAACAATGTTGCACTGGCGAATGGAGTGCCGTTGGCTGTGCCAGTGCAACATGAGGACCTGATGCCCGGAGAACAATAACGAGGAGAGACTCCACAAAGGTGCTGTACAGAGGAGACAAGACCTTATCAATGGATTCTGACATGTAAAGTATAAGTTTAGAAAGTGCTCTTGCTATTTAATCAGTGATAAAAATCCAATAGAAATCCATAAAAATGTACCTCAGGGGCAGCAACACACCGTTTGGTGAGGTTAATAATTATTTTTATTCAGCCTCTGTCAGACTCTCCAGTCTGCTCTACATTACAAAGACGCAACAAATTAAAACTAAATACTTTCATTAAAAGGAGCAACGTCATACCAATAAACAAATATGAGGCATGTATGAGATATTAATTCATCATCATGAGCAACTTATTGACTAATGATTTATTTAAACTTCAGCCACTGTCTGCTATTCCATGGCAGCGCTGTTCACCGCCACCATAATCCTGATCCAGACAGGAGTTTTCTGGACTGCTTTTATTGCAGTTTTGATGTTTCCAAAGAGAAAATCCTTGTTAGTTTCCACCACAGATGTGAGGATATCCACTTTCAGCTCGAAAAAGTTTTGAATCTTTCATGTTTGACCTCAGTGGGCGAGGCTTCTGAACCACGAATATTTAAGGGCGCAAACATGTTAATGATGATCGATTTCAGCCGCCGCATTTATCAAGACCCGATCATACATACGCTGGGATTGGTCAGATATGAACCCTTTCATAAATCTCACGTGTGTTCTATCGTAGGATGAATCCTGCACTCAGATCTGCGCAAGATTGATAAATGAGGGCCATTATGCGTTGGATATGTCTAAAATACGATTACGAAGATTCCACACAATACACACCCATTATAATCTCAAAATTTGTCCAAAAATGATCATAGTCATTAAACAGTGAGTGATAAAAAACTACAATACTTATCAAAACGACGAATGATACACCAATATACAAGACCTGTATCTACATTTTAAAATTTAAAGGTGCCTCTAGGTGAAAGTATGATGGAGTAGTAGATGTTTGGAAAAACTCCAAAAGTTACCCGTCCCATTGACTTTAATGTATAATTTTTCCACAACGACTTACATTGCCAAAAACTTGTATACGATGGAGAAAAGTAATAGCACATGGATTAAACTTCCTGTTTTCATATATAATTTGCCATAGAACTCTTCAAGCTGCAGGACTAGTAGCGAATCAAAGTTTGTCTGCAAGCGGTCTATGGCAGTGGCTGGCCAGCCTCATCCTCCTAGATGCTACCTTCTTGCTGAGCCTTGGCAGTTGCCCATACAGGTCCTTGTTGGTAATGTGGATGTTCGGAACAGCTCGTAGCATTCTGGTGTAGCACACATCAAGAGACTTCTGTAGGGTGGGTGTCAGGGTCCAGCTTTCGCACCCATACAGGAGGACAGACTTCACAGTGGCGTGGAATAGGTTCAGCTTTATGTGTTTGGAGAGATCTGAGCACCACACTCTTGACATACCGTTCAGGGCCCTCCATGCTAGTGTGTTCCTGACCTTAAGGTCCTGTTCTGTGCACCCAGGAACCCAAGTATTTGAAGTCATTGACCTCTCGCAGAGTGTTGCCATCTGAGGTCAGACACCAGGCAGATGTCATCCGCCTTCCCTCATTATACAAATTTGAAGGCAAATTGCTCTTGGTATTTCCAGAATTTCTCCACTCCCTGGAACCACCACTTGCGCACATTCAATGGGAGAGTCACAGTGATGACACTCTGCTCAAACAGTGTATCCTACGGGTGAGCTACACAATCTTTGTACGCCCATAGTCTGTATCAAGTGTCAATCATAGCAAACATGAACCCCCTAATAACTTTTAAAAGTGGAGATGCACAGAAAAAAGAGGACTTGAGCACAAACCAGTCTTGCAATAACTCAGTGGTGGGCCGTCAGGGCCAGCAAGGCCTTCTCTGCTGGCCACTTTGTTGAGCTGCTTCTAATTCTGTATATTATGATAATTATTCAGCTAGCTAGTGCTGTCAGGTGCTATGAAATCTGCCCAATGCCTTCAGAATCAACCGAGCAGGCCCCTGTACGCTTAAAGTGAGCGGACACAGTCAGCTGCAATAGCCAATCACATTTTGAGTCTGTGACACCAAGGCCAGCTAGAAGGTCTTACGCTGAACTGGACACGCATCCTGTGATTGGATAAGCACTCATTAGAACCTGAAAGGCAGTACTTTTAAAAATATCAAACTAAATCCAGAGATCCATTAGCCACCAGCAGCTATCTCTGTATTTTGCTGTACAGAAACACAACATGGCAGACACGGCTTTCAGCATTAGCCTCCATGTCCATAGAAAAGGACTTAATGACGGAACTGAAATGCACAAATAAACTGTACAACAGAGCCATTGGAGTCGTCTTGAGAAAAGAAGGAGGATGTATCTTATTTTCAAATAAGCAGGCCCTGTGGAGGAGATCCGTATTGGTGAGTGCAAGTTTATATTTTTAATGGCGACAATGCCCAAATTATTGGACAAACTTGTTTGGGCTGACATAGTGTACTTTAGGTGGCCTTTTGTTGACTAGTATCTTAAGATCCCCTTTTAATTTTTGAGTTTTGACAGCATCTGTGATCTTAGTGTCCTACTCTTAACTGTGAATGTGTGCTCATTGGTTTTAAATGCTCTGGAAATTAAGTGTTGCTCAACTGGCCTATATTAAGGTGGTGTAATATGTAAGTGTGATTCTGATGGATTCTCAAGCCATGGTGTCATATTGATGATATTATGAGGTGTATTAATTTAGGTAGGACTAAGTGGAATGGCACTGAAAGCGTAGATGGGAAATGCATGGCCCACCACTACAATAACTACATGTCACTTCGCAACCAGGGTGGAGAAAAATTCAAATTCTGTGTAATGAATTTCTAAAGTTTGTCCACAACTCCAAAGGGATTGCTGGTGGAGGCAGGGTTTATGACCTATACTGCAGCCCATCACCAGAGGGTGCTGTTTCTTGCAGAGGCTTCACCCAAAAAGGAGGCAGACAGCGTCCATTCTTTATACAGTCTATGGTCTGTGCTTGATCTAGCTTATTGTTTAGGTCCAAGAACTATTTGTATAATAAGTTTCTTAAAGCAACGGTTGCTTTTGTACTTTTCACTCCTCCATTTAAATTAATACTTTGCATTATCTTGTTTGAGTCTTTGGTTGGCAGTTTGTCATGGTGTTTGGTAATTAGAGGTCAGGTTAACAAGAATCCTGTCAGGGTGAGCAGGACCTTGTTGGGGTTTCATTTGTATAACCACCCACTCACTGCACCTTCAACCCCTGAAAATCCAATTTACTGCAGAAAATTAAACAAGCCCAACTGCTCTTTTTTATAGTCAAATTTCCTTGATTACACAGTATAGTGTTGTTTTCTATCTCTGTAGAAGTTCAGTAAAATAAAAACAGGAGTGTCAGAGAAGCAGAGAGAGAGAGAGAGATGCATACCTGCGCTCTAACAGCTCTACCTGTCAAGCAGGTTGGGTTGGATAAAGTTTGCAGGTGGGGGGTTATGAGGGTGGGGTTGAAAACTCTGAGGAGAGAGAGAGAAAGAGAGAGAGGACAAAAAAAAGAGGAATGTACGAGCACTACAGATAGGAGGATTAACAAAGGGAGGAAAAAACTCAGAGAAGGACAGAGACAAACCTACTCACCTGTTGGACCTCGTCAGTGAAACAGGTAAGACAGAAACACATTTCAGTCCTCTCTCATTCAACCCATCGAGCATGTGTACATTTCAATTCTATCATCTTATTATTTTATGATCTTTCACTACACAGAACTGGGTCCATGACTCATTATGTATTACGTCATGAAATATTGATTAGGGCTGTTGACAGGTGATGAAGAGCTGAGACATGTGGACCAAGATAAGCAAGTTAAAAAATGTCTCTAAAATGTGACAGTCCTCCATGCAGCGCTCACATGATACATAGCTGTTTTTAATAATTTAGCAGACCAAAGTTAATGTTACTGTGAAGCCTTTACACAAAGACTGAATGTATTTGAGAGTAAATAAAAAGGTTATGTGTAGGCTGAAGAGAAAAGGATTAGAGTATGAAGATTGAAATGAGTACAATAGATGTAATCAGTTTTAACATTTTTATCTACAGAGTCTTAATTTTCACATGCACAGTCTAACCAAGCATCAGTTAACACTTGTTTTGGCGGTTTGACTGAACTGTCTTGTCCCAGACAATAATCGAATCATTGCCAAGAGTATGTCTGCCTTCACTATGCTAGCTAAAGGTGTAGTTGAGGCGGGCATATTAACTTTCTCCTGGTTAACCTATCTTGCCACAAACAAAACAATCTACAAACAAGTTAGTAAGAAGCAGACTTTTTGTATAACAGGGAAATACCAACATCTTTACAACTCTGTACCTTTTATATGTACCAGGGATCCAAATTTAAAGGGGAGTTTATGAGGTTTTTTCATACTCTATTATTTCCTCTCTGATACCTCTTTAATAGCTTTACGTGATTTTCAAATAAAAAAAAAAAGCTCAAATTTCTCACAGTGATGTATAAAAATATCATTTTGCAGCCTCTGTCTGAACGCTTCGTTTTGGCTGCTGTCTCTTTAAGGCCCACCCTTCCACAAGCACACTGTCTTCTGGTTGGCCACCTCTCCAGAGGCTTTCCAGGAACAGGCAGGGGGAAGAGCTCATTCTTTTGACCCCACTCCCTGTTTGGTGGTCAATTACTTGAGCTGTGCAGGAGCATTACCCCCATAGACATCATATATGTAGACATATATATAAGTATGTATGTATGTCCTTAAATAATATGTCTTGTATATATGTATATATATATATATATATATATATATATATATATATATATATAGTGAGCTGCTGAATGAGCTTCTGCAACAAGAGAAGGTTACGATCAGTTTGGTTGTAAAAAAAACAAGCACAGGCAGCAGCCATGTTTCTAGTTTGCAGAGACAGTGACGTGCCAGCCTTGCCTCTTAGGAAATCTGTCCACTTGTTTAGAAGTGGCTGTTGTGTATTTCTCCCCAAAATCAGCTTGCAGGGACCTGGTGCAGGTGCAGCCCCCTGCTGGGCATTTAGCCCAGCACTGAAAGAAGAACACCACCCTGATAGCCCAATATAATCTGAGACTATACAAAGCTTCATTCTACCTGATAGCAAATCAAACAAAAAACACATGTTCAAGAACGTTCTTAGTAAGCAATACTTGATCAATTGTTAACATTTATGGTACATTCACATGTTAAATGCACTGTCTTGCTTCCCTCTCACTTTCGTCCTCTTCTGTTAAGGTTTTGTTTGCTTCCTTTCAGACAACTTCTTCTAATCTTACTGGTTTTGGTTGACCTCTGGGTCAAACCCTAGCATGCAAACATGCTGAAAACACTTAGGTTAGTTGGAGGCTAACTGAGCTGCATACATGCAATATAAAACCAGTTTCTAACCACATTATTCAGCTATGTTAGTAAGACAAATTTGACTTTTTGAATTTCAGGCAGACCTACATAGTAAACCAGCTTTCAAACATCATGTAAACTTACCAAGAGTCAAATCATAACCAATATAATTTGAGGACAAAAGAAGGAATATACTGTATTTTTGTGTTAATATCATTAAAAGTCAACATAAATTCACTGTGAACAAGAAAAGACCTCAGATAGAGTCAGACCTATTAGCAAACAGTTGAAAACAGTTGTCTGCTGTGACTGGATGGGCCGAGGAAGTAGGACAGAAGGAGAGGAAAAATACCAGGGAGCAAAAAAAAAAAAGAAAGAAAAACATCAGATCACACGTGTTTATGACAGTCTTGGAATTCAGTATCTGTGAAGACATCACAGGCAAACTGGTGTTACCTGTACTGCAAAGCCTGTGTTTTCTTTGGATGTGTTTGTGAGAAGTGAGTCTGTCATCATTAGTGAAAATTCACCTTAGCATGTACAAAACCTAATTCCAATGAAGTTGGGAAGATGTGTAAATTGTAAATAAAAACGGAATACAATGATTTGCAAATCCTTTTCAACCCATATTCAATTGAATACACTACAAAGACAAAATATTTAATGTTCAAACTGATAAACTTCGTTTTTTTTGCAAATTATCATTAACTTTAGAACTTGATGGCAGCAACACGTGCCAAAGAAGTTGGGAAAGGTGGTAAAAAAATACTGAGAAATTTGAGGAATGGTCATCAAACTCCTATTTGGAACATCCCACAGGTGAGCAGGCTAATTGGGAACAGGTGGGTGCCATGATTGGGTATAAGAGCAACTCCCCCCAAAATTCTCAGTCTTTGAGAAACATTGTTTAAGAATAATGTTTCTCAAAGTACAATTGCAAGGAATTTAGGGATTTCAACATCTACGGTCCATAATATCATCAAAAGGCTCAGAGAATCTGGAGAAATCACTGCATGTAAGCGGCACGGCTGGAAACCAACATTGAATGCCCGTGACCTTCGATCCCTCAGGCGGCACTGTATCAAAAACTGACATCATTGTGTAAAGGATATCACCACATGGGCTCAGGAACACTTCAGAAAACCACTGTCGGTAAATGCAGTTCGTCGCTACATCTGTAAGTGCAAGTTAAAACTCTACTATACAAAGCAAAAGCCATTTATCAACAACATCCACCGGCTTCACTTTTCCACTTTGCATCAGTCCATCTAAGATGGACTGATGCAAAGTGGAAAAGTGTTGTGTGGTCTGACAAGTCCACATTTCAAATTGTTTTTGGAAATAGTGGACGTCGTGTCCTCCGGGCCAAAGAGGAAAAGAACCATCCGGACTGTTATCGACGCAAAGTTCAAAAGCAAGCGTCTGTGATGGTATGGGGGTGCATTAGTGCCCAAGGCATGGGTAACTTACACATCTGTGAAGGCAACATTAATGCTGAAAGGTACATACAGGTTTTGGAACAACATATGCTGCCATCCAAGCAACGTCTTTTTCATAGACGCCCTGCTTATTTTAGCAAAACAATGCCAAGCCACATTCTGCACGTGTCACAACAGCCTGGCTTCGTAGATAAAGAGTGCGGGAACTCGACGGGCCTGCCTGCAGTCCAGACCTGTCTCCCATTGAAAATGTATGGCGCATTTTGAAGCGTAAAATATGACGACTGAGACCCTGGACTGTTGAACAACTGAAGCTGTACATCAAGCAAGAATGGGAAAGAATTCCACTTTCAAAGCTTCAGCAGTTAGTGTCCTCAGTTCCCAAATGTTTATTGAGTGTTGTTAAAAGGAAAGGTGATGTAACACAGTGGTAAACATGCCCCTGTCCCAACTACTTTGTCATGTGTTGCAGCCATTCTGAGTTAATTATTATTTGCAAAAAAACAAATAAGGTTTATGAGTTTGAACATTAAGTATCTTGTCTTTGTAGTGTATTCAATTGAATATAGATTGAAAAGGATTTGCAAATCATTGTATTCTGTTTTTATTTACATTTATCAAATTTCCCAACTTCAATGGAATTGGGTTTTCCTCAGGTCCTAACAGTTCAGATCCAGTCTTGGACAGCTTGAGTAGCACATGGTTCTTGTAGGAAACACAAATAGTGTGTGTGTGTGTGTGTGTGTGTGTGTGTGTGTGTGTGTGTGTGTGTGTGTGTGTGTGTGTGTGTGTGTGTGTGTGTGTGTGTGTGTGTGTGTGTATTTGAATTATGCTCCCAACAAAGATACAGACAGACAAACAAACATAATTAAAGTAATTAAGCTATTACACTGCTCACTGTGTGACTCAGCACTTTATCTGTGGGTCCATATTTATGTAGCTCTGCTTCTAAAAGATGCTGAGTCTGTCACAGGGAAAGGTGGAAAGAGGTTCACCACTCTATAAGAGACTGTGTGAGCTAATAGTTCAACAGTTTCAGGATAATGTTCCTGAGTATCAAATATGAAAGAATGAGTGGATTTCATCATATACAGAACATCATATCATTAGATGATTCAGAGAACCTGGAGAAATCTATGTACTAAAGAGACAAGGACCAAAACCAAGACTGGATGGTCCTGATCTTCAGGCCCTCAGGGAGCTCAGCATTAAAAACAGACAGGATTCTGGAGTGGAAATCACTGCATGGACTCAGAATCACTGTTGTGAAAAAACTGTAGTGGACCGCCTAATAGAAACTACTGATGTTTTTGTAAGAAACAAGAATTTGTATTATTTTTTTATTATTATTATTATTTTTTGGTCATTCCTCTCATGAAATACAGTAAATTGTAGTTTTGTCTTGTTACAGCCAAAGAAAGATTTTATGACTCTAAGGATTCAATAAAATGGTAAGTAAACATGACCTCAGTTGGTTTAGAGAGAGTCTTAAAATCATCAGAGATTGACCCAGGTGTTTTAAGAAGTAACATTATTGAATATAGAGAATAACATATGGGCTGGTCATTGGTAAATATAATAGGATTAGGGATCAGATTAATACTTTTTGGACCACAGATGATGTCAACACAGTGCTGAAGGTTAAAAGTAGCAGATTCTCAAACCTCCAAAACCATCCAAGTTTAGCAAGAAATCAGACATTAGAAAATGTGTAAATTTCATCCTAACCTGGTACTGATTATAGATAACCACATGGGTGTAAGAAAAACAACCTCCTGAACAGCTAAATGAAGAAATAAATTATACAAAACAACTTTGTTTATCATACCAAGCTGTAAATGTTGGCTGGTCATTTATGCTGTTTGGTTAGCCATTTTAATTTGGGGCTATACAGGGGCTGGCTCACTTTTGATAGGAGCCTTAAGTGGCCATTATTGCAACTGCAGGTTTTTGAACTTCTGCTTAAGGTTTAGTTTCCAAGCCTTTGTGGTCACTCATCAATTTGACAGCCGGGCAGAGACACACGATGTCATGTTGGTTAAAATGATTTGTAGTATTGCTTAATCTAAGTATTTATTCCATCCAGAAATGTGTCTCAAATGCTGTCCATGCTTCCTTGAGCTTTTGTTTCTTGATCTTTTATTATATCAACTTTATTTTAAGTTGAAACATGAAGTTGATAGAAAGAGTGAAACTAAACAGATATAAAGGATTTATCATTGACTGTAAAAGTATCTATTCTTGCAGAACAGACAGAGGGGCTAATGTGACTGGGAGGTTGCAGTCTTTTTCTATGTTAAACAGAGTGAGTCTCCCACTCCCACCTTTGCAGAACTGTGATGATCTAGAGTGACGTTAAAGTTGCAGACATTCCAACTTGGCTATGTGAACTGAGGGCACACTGCAAAACATCCAACCTGTATCTGATTCCCAACCATCAGTGGCTCAGATCAGATTTATAAAGATCAGGTTTCATGTGACTTGTGCTGCTCAGTACCATGATCAGATTTGATTCATTCCTGCACAAGAAAGTCAGATTGAGGTCATTTCTTCTCCCAAGCCTGAATTTCCTGCTCTAACCAAACTACACACTTGTATTGCTGTAGTATGTGGGTGTGTCAGATGGAGGCATGCATTCATTGAAATCATACTTAAAGGAGTATAATATCTCTGACAGTATGCATTGTTTGTATAAATTCTTATTCCTACTATTGAATCACACTGTTGATTCAAAGGCTAGACTAACAAACCATCAAAGTCTGTGTTAAACAGTGATTCATCCCGTGTCCCAACCTTTTTGGATTACTGCAGACACTGCACTAATCGGCAAATGACATGACACCAATTCTAGATAAAGTGCATTTCTTTAGTTGATCCATTTTACATATTGGATCATTCCCTGCTTCTGCAGATGATACATCATACATAATAATAATGCATCAGGTTTTAATAAAATGAAGAACGAATCAAACTGAGTGACAACATGGAACTGACTCCCACATGACACAAAGCAGTGGTAACAGAACCTGTGGGTGGAGGTAAAGGATATGTAAAATACTGCACAACAGTGTCCTATTTTTTTAGAGACGTAAAAGTGACAGTATTTCTACTGTGTATTTGACCTGGTAAATGCTTTTTTTTTTCATTACTGAGTGAAAAAAGGAAACAAGGTGGAGGAAAAATTCACCCATTTTATCCTGTCAGTGACTGGTTATGTTTTTATCAGATGTTCTGATGCCAGAGCTGATTACACAGAGACAGTTGACTGAAAGAAAAGGCCTTTCTATCAGTGTAACAGCTATGTGCTCAAACAGTATTTTACAAAGCAAACAGAACCTGTTTGAGTTGTTTCTGTGGCCCTTTCCTTACTTTACTGCCAGCGTTTTGACGTGAGCAGTGATCATCAGTCTGCATCGTCCTTCTCTGTGTTCACAGGGAAAATGTTCACGTGTCAAAAGCTACATAAATGTTAGGATTAGACCAATGGTTGTCTTGAACATGAATCAGCATCAAACAAATGTTCACAGAGACATCAGGTCATATATTACAAGATAAAACAAGTTGTTTGCTTCCATTCGCAAATGGGGAACATTTGCATTCAGCTAATTCCTTCCCTTTCACAAGTGTTTGATTGTGTTGACAAAAACACAATAGAAAAGTTAAAAATTACCGGCTAACTCAATGCTAGCTAGGAGCTTAAGCCAAAGAGGCAAATAGCTTGTTTTGCCCTGAAGTATGGGCTTTTTTCTCAGCACCAACCCCACAACTTTTCCCATGTCACAACCTGGAATATTAACAAAGATACAGAACTCTTGGCTGGATATCCTGTAATAATAAGGGCTAGTTAGATTGAGGGACCAGAAAAAAATTGGGGAATAAGTTTGGTTCTTCCACAAGGATTTACACCTTTACAATCAGATCTTGTAACACTGCCAAACCATGATGTTAGTTTGGACAGGAAAATATCTTCCAGTACCTTTTGCGTAAAAGCAGTCAGTGGACTCACACTGTTAACTGTGCAGCTAGTAAGCTCATAATCTGTAATTACACTAGATTCTTCACATCAATCAGATATGCACATATATCACCTTGAGCAATAATAGTGCTGTAGCTCAGTAAAGGAGCAGGTTGGTCACCAGTCTGTAAGCTGACGGTCTGGTTCACTGGTCTGATGGTTGATGGTCTGGTCCCCATTCCCTGTAGCCATTTTGTCCCTCTTTGAAAAGCTGGAGTGGTTTGAGGAAAGATACTAAACCTATTTGCTCTGAGGCATGGCTCTCTATTTCAGTGTGTGATGGAGTAAATGATAATGGATTTGCACAGACCTTTGGTGTGTGACAGTGGGCCTCATTTATCAATCTTGCGCAGATCTGAGCGCAGGATTCATCCAACGATAGGACACGTGAGATTTATGAAAGCGTTCGAATCTGACCAATCCCAGCGTATGTATGATCAGGTCTTGATAAATGCGGCGGCTGAAATTGATCGTCATTAACATGTTTACGCCCATAAATATTCATGGTTCAGAAGCCTCGCCCACTGAGGTCAAACGTGAAAGAGGAGAAATATTAGAAAGACTTTTCCGAACTGAAAGTGAATATCCTCACATCTGTAGTGGAAACTAATAAGGATTTTCTCTTTGGAAACATCAAAACTGGTATAAAAACAGTCCAGAAAACTCCTGTCTGGAGCAGGATTATGGTGGAGGTGAATAGCGCTGCCGCCGAATAGCAGACAATGGCTAAAGTTTGAATAAATAATTCGTCAATAAATTGCTCATGATGATGAATTAATATCGCATACATGCCTCATATTTTTTTATTGGTATGACATAGGGTACGTTGCTCCTTTTATTGAAAGTATTTAGTTTTAATTTGTTGCGTCTTTGTAATGTAGAGCGGACTGGAGAGTCTGACAGAGGCTGAAGAAAAATAATTATTAATGTCACCAAACGGTATGTTGCTGCCCCTGAGGCACATTTTTATGGATTTCTATTGGATTTTTATTACTGAATAAATAGCAAGAGCACTTTCTAAACTGATACTTTACATGTCAGAATCCATCGATAAGGTCCTGTCTCCTCTGTACAGCACCTTTGTGGAGTCTCTCCTTGTTATTGTTCTCCGGGCATCGGGTCCTCACGTTGCACTGGCACAGCCAACGGCACTCCATTCTCCAGTGCAACATTGTGCAAAACTGTACTGGCCCAAATGATGTCCCACACCCTTTCAGGAGTATACAACATTGTCCCTGCTGCTGGGCCAAGGCAGAGACACCTGCCTTTTAGGAGTCAAACGCAGTGCTCCACAGTGGCGTGTGTGCGTAATGTTGAAACAGCGCTCCTGCTCTGTGGCAGTGTTTCTGGGCAGAGTTATCAAATAGGCCTAGTCAACAATGACATAACAAATTTATTTTATTTTATTTACGTCTTAATCTTTAATGAAATCTGGCTGATTGTGCTTAATGACAGGTTTGAGGTTTGTTTATCAATTATTTTCAGACAGACATTTGCTGCATCACAGATCCACACTGACTCAAACTTGCGTGCACAATGTCAGACCTGTCGTGAGATTTGGTCGTAGTGTATGCTCACGTGCAGATTGATAAATGCCGATCCTCACGCCAAATTTTTGTACGCAAGGTGTACGCAAGTTTTCTGCCATAGAATGAGGGCCAGTGTATATAAGGCCTTTTAGATGGTCACAAGGCTACAAAAGCACCATGTACTTTAGCTACTCACCACTGGCCAACACTGAACTGTCAAATTAAACCATAAAAAATGTTTATTACAAACAGCTGATTCTCTATGCTTGGACATCTACTTGCTGTGATTTAAACCAGGTTGGAAGTGCTACTCTTCAGCTTTGGGACTGGTAATAGTTCAGTCAGGGGTAAATGTTAAATGGAGTGTGTTTCTATCTCTCTGTCTCTGATCTTCCGACCACTTAAAGATCTTTTACATCACGTCACATTCACCCATTCACATACTAGATGGCAGAGGCCATCAGTTTTTGTATAATTCCCTTCACACACATCTAAGCAGCTGTAGGTAATTGTAGATCATTCATAAAGGGAAACAGTGAAATATCATTTAGATAATGGCCCTCGTAGAGAGCTGTTTGGATACCGCAGACTCCCAAATTCAAGACAAGAGGCCAGTGAGAATGAATAGATGTGACCCAATGCACACAATTGGTGCAGTGGATCCATACCATGGGCTGAATGCACTGGTCACAAAAGACGGCAGCTGTTAACATATGGTTAATAAAACTTTGACAAAGAGATGTGTGATCTGGCAATAACAAAGAATGCACCCCTAATGATGTATTTCTGTCTGCAATTCTATCTTCTGCACAGCTGGATGGCGTTACCTGCTGCCTTTCTGTCTGAAGACCAGTTCACCTGCTCGATCTGTCTGGAGGTGTTCAACAACCCGGTCTCTACACCATGTGGCCACAGTTTCTGCCAGGTCTGCATCTCTTCCTACTGGGATGGGGGAAGAAGAGGAGGTGGGGGAAGTGGGGGAACAAAAGTCTACCAGTGCCCCCTCTGCAAGGAGTCCTACCGTAAACGTCCAGAGCTCCACATCAACCGAACCCTGAAAGAAATCACCGAACAGTTCAAGTGGTTGGCCAGTGCCGGGATTTTAATGGATGGAACTGATGGAGGAGGTGGAGAAGGAGGAGGGGTGGAGGATCCTAACTTAAATCCTCAACAACAACAAGCTCTGTCTGCATCCCAAGGGCCAAGGGAGATGCCTGAGAGTGTCTTTACTGAAATGATGTCTCGTTTCCAGCAGATGCCACCACCAGGGGTGGTATCCCAAACCACCAACCCCCATCTCAGCAACCCCCAAAGCCCCAGTCCACCAATTGTTCACTCACCTTTACAGGCCCATATCACAGCGCACCATGACCCCCCTCCACCCTACTCACCCCCTCGCAGGTACCAAGCTACAATTTTGCAGACTAAGGCAAACCAGTTTTTCATTTGGTGAATGAAATACAGTTAATGTGAATACATTTGCACAGGGCTGGAGATCCTCTTGATGTCCTGATGTTGCTTTAGACATGGTCAACCCCTAACCAATATATATATAAATATATATATATATATATATATATATATATACATAGTGGATCTCTGCATATATCAAGACTTTCTATAAGAAGGTACTATCTTTGGTACAACTCCACAGACAATGTCCTTCTTTTCCTTGAATGCTGTCACAGGTACACTGTGAGCTGTCCTGGTGACTGTTCCCCCAATCTGCCCCTGTGTCCCATCCACCGGAGAGGCCTGGAGTATTTCTGTCGCACTGATAATATCTGCATCTGCAGCATGTGTGTGGAGACTCAAGACCACAGAGGACACAGTGTCACCCCAGCAAAGAGAGAGTGGCACATCAAGAAGGTAACACTGTGTGTTTGTTTAGTGGTGTTGTCTCTGCAGCAGAATTAGAGACTTTAAGGGATATTCCAGTGTAAATTATAGTTTTGGTCAAACACACAGTTGCACCGAGTTAGACACCTCCTTGAGAGATGAATGTTACCAACTGCTTGCTTCTCTAGTTATCCCAACTTTAGTAATAAGCACGTGATAGCAAAACATAGCGGTCTACGTCTCCACGTGCACACCCCAACCAAAAAGCCACTCTATAGCCACAAATAATGCTCAGAACAGCACCTAACTTCATCAACAGTACATATACAGGTGCTGGCCAGTAAATTAGAATACCATCAAAAACTTGATTTATCTCAGTAATTCCATTCAAAAAGTGAAACTTGTACATTATATTCATGCAATGCACACAGACCGATGTATTTCCAATGTTTATTTCTTTTAATTTTGATATTTATAAGTGACAACTAATGAAAACTCCAAATTGGGTATCTCAAAAAATTAGAATATTGAAAAGGCCAATGAAAAAAAATGTTTTTTTTTAAATGTTGGCCAACTGAAAAGAATGAACATGAAAAGAATGCCCATGTATAGCACTCAATACTTAGTCGGGGCTCCTTTTGCCTCAATCACTGCATTAATGCGGCGTGGCATGGACTCGATTAGTCTGTGGCACTGCTCAGGTGTTATGAGAGCCCAGGTCGCTCTGATAGTCGTCTTCAGCTCCTCTGCATTGTTGGGTCTAGCGTATTGCATCTTCCGCTTCACAATACCCCATAGATTTTCTATGGGGTTAAGGTCAGGCGAGTTTGCTGGCCAATCAAGGACAGGGATACCATGGTCCTTGAACCAGGTACTGGTGGTTTTGGCACTGTGTGCAGGTGCCAAGTCCTGTTGAAAAGTGAAATCTGCATCTCCATAAAGTTGGTCAGCAGCAGGAAGCATGAAGTGCTCTAAAACTTCCTGGTAGACGGCTGCATTGACCTTGGACCTCAGGAAACAGAGTGGGCCAACACCGGCAGATGACATGGCACCCCACACCATCACTGACGGTGGAAACTTTACACTGGACCTCATGCAACGTGGATTCTGTGCTTCTCCGCTCTTCCTCCAGACTCTGGGTCCTTGATTTCCAAAGGAAATGCAAAATTTGCTTTCATCAGAAAACATAACTTTGGACCACTCGGCAGCAGTCCAGTCCTTTTTGTCCTTGGCCCAGGCGAGACGCTTCTTACGCTGTTTCTTGTTCAAGAGTGGCTTGACACACGGAATGCGACAGCTGAATCCCATGTCTTTCATGCGTCTCTTCGTGGTGGTTCTTGAAGCGCTGACTCCAGCTGCAGTCCACTCTTTGTGGATCTCCCCCACATTTTTGAATGGGTTTGCCGTCACAATTCTCTGCAGGGTGCGGTTATCCCTAGAGCTTGTACACCTTTTTCTACCACATTTTTTCCGTCCCTTCGCCTGTCTGTTAATGTGCTTGGACACAGAGCTCTGCGAACAGCCAGCTTCTGTAGCAATCACCTTTTGTGTCTTGCCCTCCTTGTACAAGGTGTCAATGGTCGTCTTTTGGACAACTGTTAAGTCAGAAGTCTTCCCCATGATTGTGGAGCCTTCAGAACAAGACTGAGGGACCTTTTAAAGGCCTTTGCAGGTGTTTTGAGTTAATCAGCTAATTAGTGTGGCACCAGGTGTCTTCTATATTGAGCCTTTTCAGAATATTCTAATTTTCTGAGATACTGAATTTGGTGTTTTCATTAGCTGTCAGTTGTAATAATAAAAATGAAAATTAATAAACACATGAAATATATCACTATGTGTGGAAGGAAAGTATACAGTATACAAGTTTCACGTTTTGAATGGAATTACTGAAATAATTCAACTTTTTGATGATATTCTAATTTACTGGCCAGCACCTGTAGGTTCCCAGTCATAGCACTAGCCATCAAATATCTTTTTAGCAGCCTGGTGTCTTCAGCAAAGAGACCAAACACAACTCACCCATTTTCTTCCAGCCATCTCACAACAAGATGCTTAACAATATTACCCCAACAGCTGGGTCAGACACCATCAGACAGTCCCACAAAAACTTAAGGAAGAAAGGACCAACAAAGCTTTTACATTTTCAGCACTCATTGCTCTTAATTAAACCAAACTTTTCAAGCCTGATTGGAATCCAGTAGTAACTGGATAGCAAGTACTACACTCAGAGGCTGAGTGTTACCAGGTGACTTCCTGTGAATTAACCCTTGACCTCAGTGTTTGGTGAGGCACATTCACATTGGGAAAATGAAGTCTGTGATTTACTGACAGACACTTCTCTGAGTTGCTGCACAACATCTGGGGGCAGCTTAAATCTCTACAGCCTGCTAAAACTTCCAGAAAAAAGGGCAGAAAAAGCTACAGAGATCTTCCCAGAAATCAACCTTAAATTACTGAGACACAGATTCACACTGGATTATTGATCGAGGACCTCTGTGATAGGAAAGCTTATCTGGCCTGAAGACTTTTCCTTCTCAAATTACCAACTCACTCATGTTTAAAAAAAAAACACAATATACTCCACAATTATTACATATTATCAAAAGTCTACTGACCAAGTTTTTACAGGTGATGTGCAGGTTGTAGTGGCATTGACTGAATCACTGAACCACTTTAAATTATCTTTTTTTTCCTGTTCTAGTCCCAGTTAGGTATATCAGAGGTGGAGCTGAAGGACCTCATCTGTGAGAGGGAGAGAAAGGTGGAGGAAATACAGAACTCTCTAAGAGAAATACAGGTGAGTCTTTTGTCCAAACCAAGCTGACCTCCTGTTTGAATTGAGTTTTGAGTTCTTAAAGTCTGATGCCCACCTCGTCTCAGAGACCATCAGTTATTTAACAAGGCTCAATGCTTCTAAGGAGCCAAGACTCCCACATCCAATTGTGACCTTTTTTTACAGGCCATGCAGTGATTTGGTAAAGAAGTGAGGTTGTGTTGAGAAACAAGCCAATCCTGATGACTACTTTGTGAAATGTTGATTGCTAGTTATTCTGCCAACGGGACCAAACTTGACTAGAGCCCTGGACCTCATTATCAGATTTATCTGAAAACTTGCTTTGACCTGCGAGGTTCAGACTAGGGTGTCCTGGGGTGTAAATCCTCCACATTATATGGCAGATGCATTAGCATATGTGCAGCCCTGACATCTTCAAAAGGGGTGAGTTGTCAATAAGAGGGTATTTTACCATTACTGCTAGTGGGATTTTGATCAGTTTGCTCCTAAAATGTTATGCTGCACATAACAACAGTCCTTACAGATTCTGCATTCTGATGAAGAATCTGCAAATTCAGACTTATGCTCACCAAACGGTCGTTCCTGGAAATGGAAAAAGAGAGCTCAGACTTGCATGTTATGTACAGTTATGACATTTGTTACGCATTGTTATCAGGCAAGCAGAAGTAAAATGTGAAAAAACTCCTCCCTTGTTTTGATGAGGAATGTGCAATCAGGCAGTCTCTGGTGTTGCTTTTAGAATTGAAAATCAATCACTGTTGTTGTGGGGTATTGATCATGGTGAAACATGTAACACTGCTGAGAAATAAGTGGAAACAAGAACAGCAGATATCCAAATTGACCAGAAAGCCTGAGGTTAGTATTTCCTTTGCTACAAAACCAGCAAAACTTAAAGGGTGCTTTTAACCCATCTGCTCTGCTGTGACAGTGGGTTTAAGTCATCCAAAATATAGAGATGTAGCTGCATATATATATAAATTTATTCAATCTCTTTGTCAGGCTGCTGGGCCTTCTTCATTGGTAGAGGCTCTCAAAATGGCATCATACCATGCCCATTTGTTTTCATTTAGGCTTCTGCTGAGAGAGAGACTGATGGAGTTGTTTCTGCGTTTTCCAAGCTGATCTCCAGCATGGAGCGCTGCCAAGCTGAAGTCTTAGAGGTAAATAACAGAGGCCTCCTTTTCGAATTCAAAGTAATGTCTCCTTATTAAAGTGTTAACAAGGCTAAGTCTTTCCTGTGCCATCCAGGTAATCGAGATGAGTCGGCGGGTGGCTGAGCACAGAGCTCAGACTGTGCTGAGAGAGCTGGAGGAGGAGATATCTGAGCTGAAGAAGAGGAGTTCAACATTGAACCAGCTGGTTTTGTCTGAAGACTATGTACACTTCCTCAAGGTATGGATGCTTGGATGATTAAAGGATAGCTTAGCTATTTTGTAGTAGAGTCACAAGAGATACTTGTCCCTAATAAGTCTTCAAGGGGATCCAAATCCACTTGACCCCTTTGTTGAAAAACTGGTATGATAACCAGCAGGGAAGCTAGGCTATCAACAGCTACAGACAGGTTAATTTCATCACATAATATAACTCATTTTAATGATGGGACTTCCATCAGGTCTGTGTTTGGTCTGACTCTGCCATTATCTGGTCCAATTCTGTGCTCCATTTCCATTCAACAACACCTAGCTTTGTTTTCAGAGCCTAGTATGGAGCAGCACCACCAAACAGGTAGACTCACAGGACTAAGGGCTCTATTTTGGTGCCTCGCCGGAGATCTGCCGCAAGCGCAGCGTCAATTAGATCCGCCGCGCTGACAAGGCGTTCCCAAGCACATTTTGGTATTTTGGTGAGCCGCGCAGCCCGGCGTAAGTATCCCCCCTCCCTAACTCAGCTCCTCCCAGCAGCATAAGTCGTAGACGGGGAGGAGAGAGGGCGTGTTGTATATTTAACACAGCCGAGACCTGTTTTCACCAATCACATAGGCTCCTCTCCTTGCCTTTAAATCCGCCACCGGCGAGGCGTATTACTATTTTCATGAAGTAGTCAAAGAGATCAAGAGATGTCTGAAGACAGTTATGCCACACGATGGCGACAGAGGGCAGCTGCTCAACAAGTGTCCTCCACACTCTCTCATCTGAGCATAGATGGATTTGGTGTGTGTAATGTTGGACCCACTGGTAAGACAAACACCCTTTTCCACAAATAAAGACACTCACATAAAGTTGCATATATTCAAACCTCACGTGACAAAGGTGGGTTTAGCGCACAGATCACAACATAAACTCCAAAAATGGCATTAAAATCGGAACCATCTGTGCGTAAATGACGCATCGCACTCCGTGGCCTGTCTCTTTCTTTCATAGATGTTGGCATATAAAATAAATTTGGCCCACAAAACTGAATATTATAATATCCGTATGTCGGCTTAAAGTAGATCACGCATCTGAGCACTGAAACTAATCATCTGTTCAGCCGCAGCAGCAGCAAGACGGACAGAGGACACGGAGACGTGTCCAGGTCGAGCTGTGCGAGAAATAAGAGGAAGAAAGAAAAGGAGGGAGACACATTACATATCTTGTTAACTTCATCATGTGTGTTTATTTACTAGATATTTAATTTAATTTGATGCAGTTTCAGCTGTATTGATTCGGTCAGGTTGTGTGCCCAAACGCGTGCCAAACGCGCTCATCAGATCAGATATAGATCAGAATATATCGATATAGATCTAAATGTATATGCTGACTCAGATTAATAGTTGTTGATGATTATTTGTTGCACTGAAATCTGCCTGACACTGTGGAAACCTGCCGGTGAGGCATCGGTGACGTATGTCGATACGCCGCCGGTCTACCAAAATACTACTAGACCAGCTGCGTTCCGCCTTGCGCTGAAAGCTGACCAGGTTTGAATCGGCGAGCTTTCAGCGCACGTTACACGCCGGTGGCGAGCACGAAAATGTCACTGCGCCAGCTGATTCTGTCAGCACCTCCCCCTGCCACGTCACCACGCCCAGCTTGGCGGATCTCAGCTCACCTCCGTGCGACTCAGTCCACGAAAATACCAAACTCGCCTTACGCCGGGCTCCGCTAGACGAAAATACAACTGCACGGGGCCCGCCGCCCTCCGCCGCCTCACCGGCGCGAACGAAAATAGAGCCCTAAGTGTTTCCTGGGTGAACTACAGAATCAGCATTTTTTTTCTCACCTCCACAGTAAGCTCTGTGCAGTGCTCTACAAACACAGCTGATGGGTGTTGATGGATAGGGGAGCACAGAGTTGGACCAGATCATAGCAGAGACAGACAAGACACAGACCCAATGGAAGTCCCAATAGATTTATCATTTTGCTGAGATGGTTATTTTAAACCTCTCTTCACCAAAAGTTCTCGCTTTTAAAAATAATCAAAAAATATCTGTAAGACAAAATTTCCTCTGTGTTTGATAATTTAATGGCTCTTCAGACATTCCCCACCATCTCCAGCCCTCCACCATCAAAGGATTGGTCTGGTGTCTCTGTTGTGTCTGAGCTGACTTCTGGAGTGGTTCTCAGGACAATCACACTGACCATGGAGCACCTTCATGAAGAGCTGAGGAAGCTGCCAGAAGTCTGTGAGTTTATATAATGACTATAGGCAGAAAAATTAGGTTCAAAAGCAACATTTCAAGAGCATCAGCTTGAGACGGTCTCCTAGAGGGAACAGGGAACCCCAGTGCTTAATTTGTCCTCCAGGAGGTTCTGGGCCCCCCTCTGGAGCACATGCACTGTAAAAATATGCTTTTTCCTCTGGCTTTTAACGCGTTTTTATTATCTTTTTCACCTTAATTTCCGCACCTACCTAGTACAACATTTGCAGCAACATTTGGCACACCATGTTGTTTACCTATTTTTGCGCGGTGCTGGTGCGGAAACAAAACCATCCCAATGCGCATTGCGTTGTGACACGTGACGGCATAAATCACTTTTTCCCCCTGTTTTACCTAATTTCTGAGTAAAATGCATAAGAAATAAGCCAACAGGCATCAATTCAGAGAGAAATAAAACACAGAGAAAACATAGATAAAAACACAGTTTATTTATTGACAGGGAAGGTCCTGGAGCAGATCAAACAGGTGCCGGAGCGGGTGAAATAGGTCCCGGATCCGATCAAAGAGGTCCTGGAGTGCGCTCCAGCACAAATTAAGCACTGGGGAACCCCTATCAAAAAGTCCACTTTTATATCAGCAAGTAAATGTGTTTTTAAGTCGATAAGAGTCATCTCTTATAGACTTCAAGTATGCTTCACAGTGGGTACGCAGATGGCCAAGCAGGTTGAAGCGTGTCCCATGTTGGGGACCTACTTAAACCTAAAGCACAAATACATACAAAGTATATCTTTATTCAAAGTTTATGTGTAAGTATAGGTCGAATATATTTAGACTTTTTGTATAATTCTTAGTACAAGCCAAGTAAACTTAACATTAACTTTGTTAAGTATATCTCTGAAGAGTGCATAAAAAGTGAACTGGAAGCAGACTCAGTTTAAACACAGTATACTTGAAGTGCACTTCAACATACTTCTCTTTGGTAAGGGATACCAGTCTTGCCTGTTGTTGACACCACTGAAACGGTGCACGTTTCATCTGAGTAAAGTTCCAAACTACCAAATACATCTCTGATCCAGAAATAAGTGTTAAAGCGGTACTTAAAAACTTCTAGTTTTAGTTGAGTTTGACCAATGTGGTACTGTTTTACCTGAAGGAAGACCCCATTTCCCATGAGCACCAGCGCATAGTGCCGTAAACATCCTGCTATGCTGGTCGCATGCAGACCGAGTGTTGGTTTAAGCTTCCACTTTGGGTTCTTCCCAACTTTTCTGCAAAATGATTGCAACTGAAGACTTTTGATTTGTGCTTCTGAGGGAAATTTTCTTCAGTATGAGATGTTTTAAAATATAAAACATCTTTTTCTCTAATCAACAGGTCAGCGATCCCTGTCAGAACAAACTGTAGCCAGGCCCAATCCAAGTAAGATTTTCATCTGAAAACTCTGTCTGATCATTTGAGTTTCATTGAATCTTGACAAACATGGCCCAATAGATAAAATGTGTAAATATATACTCCTCTTCACAGAGGTAAGGAGGGTCCAGGAGTATGCAGGTATGGTACAGTGTTTCATATGGTCAGTGTTTATATGTGCAGTAGATCTGAATTTATTCACCAACCATCCCTTTGTCTTGCTCTGTCAGATGACATCACATTAGACCCCCATACATCCCACCCTCGTCTCATCATCTCTGTAGACGGGAAGCAGGTGCACTGTGGGGACCGCCATCAGCCTGTACCAGACAACCCTGAGCGCTTTGACCGGGTAGTGTGTGTGCTCGCACGTCAGGGCTTCAACTCTGGACGCCACTACTGGGAGGTAGGTGGATACAGTATGAAGGTTTGTTAATAATGTCATTAAGATAAGATAAGAAACACTTTGTTTATCCCAGAGAGACAATTCCATAAAATTCCATCACCAAAAACTCAAACAAAAAACAATCCATAAGTTTCCATAACTCCTCTTAAAATGTGATAATTAATCAAAAATAAGCTAAATAAAAATAAGTAGATGATAAATGGATAAGTACTATTAAAAATAAGTATTTTCAGGTGCTGATAACAAGCTGATGGTCCCTGTCTTCTCGAGGGTTGAGAACACTCAGGAACATTTTTATGAGACTGTTGAACTATAAGCCCACACAGTCTTTCACAGAGTGGTGAACCTCTTCTCATCTTTCCTTCTGACAGACTCAGCCTCTCTTAATGTCTTTTTTATACACAGTCATGTTTCTAACATGTTGGAAATTCACCTCATTAGATGATTTTTTTTTTTTTAAATTAGATGATTTTAATATTTTTCTTTTCCTCTAACTGGAAACGTGCACACTTTTTTAAAATTATATTTTAACATTTGATACACTGTCTTTGCACTATGATTTGATCAAATTTTTGGTTTTAATCATTTTCATACCTCAAACTGTCTAACATTGGATGAAAATTTTCATGTTATTTATGGCCTGTACACAGCATTGAAGTTAAGTGTCATGACAGCTCTCTGGTAGGGCTTCCTCTGAAGTCTAAATACTCCTTAGATAACAATTTTCTTGGCCATCACCAGATTTCTATTCCATAATGAACAGTTTGCTTTATCATGCTGCATCTTTTCAGGTGGAGGTTGGAGGAAAGACAGACTGGGACCTGGGGGTGGCAAGCTGCTCTGTCAATAGGAAAGGGAAAATCACTGTTAGCCCTGCGCATGGCTACTGGTTCCTCAGCCTGAGAGATCGGACCGAGTACGCCTTCAGAACAGAGCCCTCAACCAACCTCACCATCAACTCCAGACCATCCAGGATTGGAATCTACCTGGACTATGAGAAAGGGCTAGTGTCCTTCTACAACGTGGAGGCCAAAATTCTCATTTATACCTTCACAGATACATTTTCTGATACCATTCATCCTTTCTTCAGCCCCTGTACCAACAAATCAGGAAGGAATGAGGGGCCGCTGATTATCTGCCCTGTTTTAGAGTGAAATATGTGAGGCTGGTTCACATGAGAGGCATTTTCTTTAGTTGTCAGAAGACTGAATTGTACACATATAATCTGAATAGATCCCATTGCTCTCCTTACTGTTTTTGCATTAAGTTTACAATGAGCGGGATATTTTTTAGCATGCTATTTTGAGCTAGTGCCCCTGATGTGTCCAATATTTTAGACTGTAATCTGCCAGCTAATCCCTTTTTTTTCTTCAAACCATCTGAATCTGTGGGAATACATGCTGAAAATTATGAGTATTGTTGTTTTTGCTTTCTGTTTTACTCACTACCAGATATCTGAATCAGATGGCACATAGTGTTAGTTAGATATTTATAAATCTTTGGGGAGTAAAAAAGAATAAAAGGGTATGAAATTTGAACTAATACTGTAACTTCCTGCCAAAGTTTCTTAGCTTTAAACTGTCAGGCCATCAAACTAGCCTATACCTTCTAACATTGGATGAAAAGTGTCATGACAGCACTCTGGTAGGGCTTCCTCTGAAGTCTAAATGATCTTAGCTCTGTCATTACTGTCCATAGGGATAATTATGTTTGGTTGTAGTACCACAGTTTACCACAAGGATGAATTTAAAGCAATATTGACTCATCATGCTGTCTTTAAAGGGGATGCACAACAAATTTCAGGGATATATGGAACATCTCAGTCTGATAAAGAGTCAGCCAATAAATCATAAATCATTTTTTTTTGTCATCACCCATTGTGGTTATGTTAACATTTTAGTGTTGCTTAATAACAAGCTTGCACAATGGGTAGCCATTACACACAGAGAAGATGAATGAGTGCAGCCAAGTGGAGTGCATGTTTGTTTCAGTTTCAAGGGAGGAGATAAGTTCTTCAGTTTGATTTCAGCAGATCTTTTCCAGTCACCTGAAAAAGTCTTCGTATCGTCTTCAATAGTTTTATTACAGAGACAAAAAGCAGCAGCTGCAGCAATAAGCACCAACTGAATAGTCTGTGCTAATTACCTCCGCCAAGGAAGTTATGTAATCGGTAGCGTTGGTTTGTTTGTCTGTTAGCAACTTTACGGAGAAAGTTACTGACGGATTGATCTGAAATTTTCACCAGAGGTGCGTCTCAGCCCAAGGAGGATCCCATTAAATTTTGGTGGTGATCCGGACAAAATTCTGGATACTGTGATCCAGAACACACAAAAATAAGGGTGTTGTTGGAATTTTCAATGCTGAAAGGTAACCAATGGGCGGCACAGTGGAGTAGATAGGCGGCACAGTGGTGTAGGTGCTACACTAGATAGGTGCACAGTAGTGACAGTGCTAACACTGTCGCCCTCACAACCAGAAGGTCCTGGGTTTGAATCCAGGTCAGGACATTTCTTGTTTAAGGGGGGACATGGGTTGCTTGGCGCAGGTCTGCACTCTCCGAGTGCTTTTCTAGTTTTGGTAGCATTGGTTTGTTTGTTTGTTTGTCTGTTAGCAACTTTACGTAAAAAGTTACAGAAGGATTGACCTGAAATTTTTACCAGAGGTGCATCTCAGCCCCAGGAGGATCCCATTACATTTCGGTGGTGATCTGGATCACCTTCTGGATCCAGGAATTTTTTGAAGGATTCTTTATCATTGTGAGATTGTGCAAATTTTGGAATTTTTGCATTTAACTCTATACTAGACTAGAAAAGCACCTGGAGAGCAAAGACCTCCGCCAAGTAGCTCATGTCCCCCCTTATATCGTGATTCACACCAAAACTTTTACTGTTACATGTCTTTAATTAACTTTTATTTGTGTTTAAACTGGTATGTTCACTGTTCATAATGTTCCCTAAAACATTTTACATTAGCTACATAAATGCATGATTTATTATGTAATATTTGTAAGCGTACACTTCCTTGTTTCTTCATTAGTTATTCTTCACCATTGAAAATTCCAACGACACCCTTATTTTTGTGTGTTCTGGATCACAGTATCCAGAATTTTGTCCGGATCACCACCAAAATGTAATGGGATCCTCCTGGGGCTGAGACGCACCTCTGGTAAAAATTTCAGGTCAATCCGTCTGTTACTTTCTCCGTAAAGCTGCTAACAGACAAACAAACAAACAAACCATCGCTAGCGAAAACACTAGAAAAGCACCTGGAGAGCACAGACCTCCGCCAAGCAGCTCATGTCCCCCCTTATATTGTGATTCACACCAAAACTTTTACTGTTACATGTCTTTTATTTACGTTTATTTGTGTTTAAACTGGTATGTTCACTGTTCATAATGTTCCTAAAACAAGAAATGCCCTGATCGGGATTCAAACTCAGGACCTTTTGGTTGTGAGGCGACAGTGCTAACCACTACACCACTGTGCCGCCCATCTACACCACTGTGCCCCCCAATTGTTATCTTTCAGCACTGAAAATTCCAACGACACCCTTATTTTTGTGTGTTCTGGATCACAGTATCCAGAATTTTGTCCGGATCACCACCAAAATGTAATGGGGTCCTCCTGGAGCTGAGATGCACATCTGGTGAAAATTGCAGGTCAATCCGTCAGTAACTTTCTCCGTAAAGTTGCTAACAGACAAACAAACTCACAAACAAACAAACCAACGCTACCGAAAACGTAACCTCCTTGGCGGAGGTAAAAAATGGCCAGAGTCTTTAGTAAAAAATTACACAAAAGGATCTCAATGAGTTTTATGAGGTGTCAAAGGTTGATCCTGATCCAGACAAAATTCTGGGTACTGTGATCCAGAACACACAAAAATCAGGGGGTCGTTGGAATTTTCAATGCTGAAAGATAACCAATAAAGACACAAGGAAGTGCACGCTTACAAATGCTGCATAATAAATCATGCATTTATGTATCTAATATGAGCTTTGTTGTTTTAGGAACATTATGAACAGTGAACATACCAGTTTAAACACAAATGAACGTGAATAAAAGACACGTAACAGTAGAAGTTTTGGTGTGAATCACAATATAAGGGGGGACATGAGCTGCTTGGCGGAGGTCTGCGCTCTCCGAGTGCTTTTCTAGTTCTACAGGTATTTGATCATCTGGCAAACACAACCCAAAGAAAGAGCAATGAATGACAGAATGAGTGAACTGCTCTGACATACAAAGTCAGCATGGAAGGTTTTAAAGCAACTGTTTTATATATCTTATACTGTGATAGAGGAGCTATTAAGAAGCTAATGCTCAAAAATGTTATTTAAAAAGATGAACATATAGCCAAATAGAATATTATACAGATTATACAGATTTTATACTCAAAAATCAAACAATGAAAGAATGCATGTTGCTCTTTGTTTCTTTTTCCATGTTTTTAGAGAACTTGGGTCTTCATTTGTCTTTGTTCATAAAAACTGATTCATCTTATTTATGTGTTACAGGTTGAACAGTTATTGTAAAATAATTAAAAGTGATTAATGGCCAAGATCAAATGCTGCAGTTATGTTGGTTTTCTTCACAATTAAATCAGTTTTGTTCTCAAAGACTTTCATGTTGACTTTCAAATCAGTTGATGCTGATTTGTCTGTGTGCACATCCACAAGTAGAAAATAGGCACAATGCAGCCTCTGTGTGTCTGTTTAAAATTAAATTGAGACTCACCACAAACAAAAGACATTACTCGGAAATACCATTTTTTTTTTTTTATCTGACTTCATTCACTTCTTCTAAGGACCATGCTGGGGATGGTGGTCTGCGGTGGCCAGTGTGATCCTGTTTGCTGTTGTGTGCTGGAGCAGTATACTCCAACAGACTGAACTAAGCCAGTGACATTGTGAGGGTAGAGCTGGACACTCTGATCGTGGTGACAGAGAGGAAGATGTTGTCAAATCTTCATGTAATCTCGAACAGCATCCACCACCCACTCCCTAGCGTGCACATTTAGTGCCAGACTCATTTCCCCTTAATGCACCACAGGGCGTGACAGGAAGTCATTCTTACCTGCGGCCACCAAACTTAATAACATTATTACTCCTCCCTCTGAGTGTCACACACTCTGGCTGTCCCTGGACATATTTCTCATGGAGTAACTGCAATCTGTTTGTAATCTGGTCAAAACTGTAATCATCTAAGAGTGCAATACTGATAATATAATTTATTTAGCTATACTGTGCAATACTCTGTTATACTTTACAATACTCTATTATACTTTGCAATATTCTGTTAAAATGTACTATACTCAGTTATACTTTGCAATACCCTGTTGAACTGTACACTACTCTGTTTTACTTTACAACACTGTATTATTGTTACGGCCTCCTTAACTTAATAACTTAACCCAAAAGCTTGTAAAAAGAGACCACAATATATAATCAAAAATGACATTACAAATAACTGAAAAGTTTATCTCACAGGCTTTGTTTCCCAAAATGAAACCAATAAGTACGGACAAACAGAAAGAGCGGAAGACCCCAGCCAAATTGAACAAAAAACAAAAGGTGCTGGCCTAGACATGCAATGGACCATCATGTCAGCACTTCCTCCCACCTTAGCTACCACTGGGACCTAAGTTAAACAAAAGAGCAAAAACTGGACTACCAGAGGTCTCTAGCCCAAACTAAAACAACTATCATACTAATAATTTTTATGTGTCACAGTACTCTGTTAAACTATACAATATACCATTATACTTTACAATACTTTATGTAACTGTACAATACTCTGTTACACTACAATATTCTGTGCAATATCCTACAGTTCATTGCTGCTCACTGGTATGATATACACAACTCTCTCTTCTCATACATAACCTATTTCTTAAACACAATGCACTTTTGTATTTTTTCTAATATTCAGCACTTTAAACTTTTTTTTCCATATTTATTCCAATTTTACTTCTCTTGCTATGTTTTCTTGCAATGCATGTATTTTTAAGAGTAAGTGTATTCAGAATCAGAATATTTTATTCCAATGAATAATACGGTTGTTACACCTGCTCTTTAAAACACAAATAATAATGGAAGGAGAATAGAAATAGGGATGAATTCGAACATATAAAAAATTGCAACGGTAAGTAAAAAGT